TCCAGATTGCCTGAGTGAATGTCTGGAGGTGTAGGCACCTCGGAATGATTGTGTTAAGCTAGCACTAAGTCCCTCCCCCATCCACCTTTATTCTTTTCTTTACAATAAGGCTTTCAAATAAATCATTGTTGTACGGCAATGAGGCATCGGTGTTGAACACTGATGTCATGCTGTCGATGATGATGATGATGCAGCTGTATGCACCCCCTCGATGCCTAGCTGCCATGCCAACGGAAGAGGCACGAGGGCTGAGATACTGCCAGGTTGCCGAAGCCTAAATACTGAGTTCGGGTTCGAGCCACTGACATTCCAGTCCGTAGGCTGGCACCTTAACCACCGAGCTATCTCGAGCTCAGAAACGAATTTGAACGACCCCCAAAACAACGCCAAATTGCGTCTTGGCAACCGAGAACTATCCAAGAGATGCAGCTACATTTTACTGAGACGATGTAGGATACTGGGGCTGTTTTGTCAGTACAATGTTTGCTGCTGCGATACCAGTAATTCTGAACTTACTCCTTTTTTTCTGTCGACAACACTGCACGACCTCTCCCCAACGTATTCTTCTCATCCGTCAATATCGCCAGCACTTGCCATACCGTTGGCCATGCTTCAGTTGGCTCTGGCGCTCTACAGTACTGTTCCTCCAATATACGATCATACAAGCACATTGTCATCTTTCATCTTTTTATGTACGATGATAACTTGACATTCAGTTTTGCTGCCTGTTGTTTTCCTCGTTCAGCTCAAACTAAATACCTTCTTTTTTTCTATTCCAGCTGCGGATATGTGGAATTTCTACGCGCATTCACCGTCTTCCAAACCACAAACTTACTATTCTCGCATTCTTCTCCCCCAAGACGATGGTGTTGGGTGTGAAACCGCCCCGAATTCTGCGAAAAAGGCCCCGACTCCATCTCGTGCTGGACGGGTAGCTCCAACCAACCGTCAGAGCCGCCACAGTTTACGTGCACACTCAGTCGCTGCCCCTTGGATGACTCCTAATCGAACCTCTGTGTCCACACTATTCAACTTCCGTCCCGCTCCACACTATAGCTCTGTCATTTTCAAATCTCCTATTCGGTCCGGTAGTATTAAAGTTGAACCGCGTATCCTGGATCTCACCGAGCCTCCGATGAGTCATACCGTCAAACGAGCATTACGCATGCTTGAGTCTAAAAAGCGTACGTGTGCCTCTGTTTCATCCGATGTCTCCTCGCTGCCCGCTTCGGATGACGATGATGTGTTGCTTAACACCTCTAAGCGCCGAAGACTCCAAACGCCAGTTCCTAATTCTCATGAGGACTATGACGTTTCAGCTATCGGAAATACCCACAGTTCGGATGGATTCCACTTCACGTCTATTGGACAGCTTCGCGGCACCGTTCCTTCTTTGCGCAGAGACCACTTAACAGTTTCTGTTGGTTCCGCAGACGTGAATAGGTCGACAGCAGTGCTACCCAATGGATCAACCGAAAGTTACTTGACCGGAGGTCCTGTTGATAGATCAAGTTCGACCAAGCCGACACCAGACCCATTCCGATCGCCCATCTCCGCGGAGGCGTCTATTAGACGACGCATACCATATATGTCACCTGCCGAGCTTGATGCTTTATTCAACGCTAAGTGTAAACCAATTGCTGTAGCGATGGAAGAAGGAGAACAGAGTGGTTCCGATCAGGAGGAATTTGAATTGCCTAGTTTAGGACGGCAGTTTTCTGAAAGACGGGCACCGTCTACGCAAAATGTTTCTCCTCATCCATCCAGAGATACTGGTACCCCGTTAATAGAAACCACCACGTCTGCTACCATTGATGAAGTTTCAGATAAGCGGCCTCCTTCGTCGAGGGTCAACTCTGTGGCCCGTTTCATCGCCAATCTCGAAGCCTACGGCTCCAAGGTGAGCACAGGTGATGGTTCCGGAATCAATCTGTCACCGTCCATTCGTTGCCTTTCCCCGTCCGAGATGAGCGCACGTGTCTCCAGAATCCGCCGGCTACTTAGTTCCCCGTCTGTATCAGAAGCTACAGGGACTGTAGCTACCACACAGGTCATGTCATCTTCTGTGAGTTCGGTTCCAAGTGCACTTCCTGCTTTCTCGATGATAACATCGATCCCTCCTATTGTGTCCCTATCTGCGTCTACCCTGTCAAACACCAGTGTTACGACCTCGGCTGGCACATTTACCCAGCCCGCCTCCACGGGTGCACCCACTGTTGTCACGGCTTCACTGCCTTTCGCTTTCACGTTCCCCCCTGTTTGTCTGGCCACCAAATCACCAGCTGCCTCCACGGTGCCTCCGACCACTACCGTTGCTTCGCTGCCAACGTTCACACTGCCGGCCTCGTCCACGACCACGGCATCTGTTAGTTCTGCCCCGTCAGTTTCTAATTCGTCTGCCAACGCAACGCCTCCATTTTGCTTTCCGGTTGTTACGTCAACGCCGGGAATTACCACTCCATCCTCTGTCGTTCAACCGAATTCTGTGATCGAGAAACCAGACTCTGGTGCGTCGGTTGTATCTGCTTCGGTCACGAATGCTTTCGGTAGGTTCACAGATTCACTGACGGGTTAGTAAGCATTCGCGTTGACGTTCTGTTGAAAACGTGAACCTTATTTTTTCTTCTCAGGCATGGAAATTTCTCACTTCAAAACGCCCCACCTAGAATACCTTGCGTGGTCCGCTGCCTAAGTTGCTATTGTTTCACCTGTAAAACGACTTGTAATCCACGGCGTAAATGGGCTTAAGATGGCTTTTGTTATATCTGTGGGTAGCCTTTTCCGTTTCGTATCAACTAGCTGGTATTCGAGAGTCGGATTAGTACAGGATGGTACAGTCATCCCCCAATGGAAGCCGCACCTCACTCAGTTCAGACCGAAAAGGAGGCCATAACCGAATAGGGACTGTATACTTCAGCCACCTTCAGGTTTTACGTACACTGATCGGGAAACAGGTATGAATCGTTCAGCTGTAGCACCGTTTCAGTGCCTAGCTGCCATGCCACCCTAAAGGAGCACGAGGGCTGGGATACTGCCAGGTTGCCGAAGCCTAGACAGGGGAAATCGAGAGGCAGGGGTCGGGTTCGAACCACGGACCTTCCGGTCAGTAAATTCGCGCCCTTACGACTGAGCCATCTCGCCCCCTGGAAACAGGTATGGTGACTGAATGATGCCTCATCAACAACTTATTCAAAATTTTGTTAGACAGGATTGCTCAAATTTTTCTCAAGTCACAGATCTCTCTTAGGAGGGACATGTTTCCCTGTGTGATAGTTAAACATTTATTTTGTTTTTGTGATATGCTCTTGACAATAGTTCAAAATGCATGCGGCGTTTCCAACCTTTGACCTTATATGTCCCCAAAACGCACAGACTTGCGCTTTTGTCGGCCAGAACCCAATCATCATTCACTTTCAAAAACGACGAAAGGTGATGTTTGGTGATGATGATGATGGCGAAAGATGATATTTCCATTCGGATTGGGAAGGCCAGAGCAGCTTTTGCGAACCTACGTCACCTGTGGCGTAGGCCTGACATCAGCTTCTCTGTCAAGGGTCGAGTTTACAATGCTGCGGTGCGCTCCATATTATTATATGGATCAGAAACCTGGCCGCTGCGCGCCGAGGACGTCAAAAGACTTTCAGTATTTGACCATCGATGTCTTCGGAGCATTGCCCGAATCTGGTGGGAACACCGGATCAGCAGTTCTGAAGTACGTCGAATGGTATTCTGGAAAAATAACTCACCCTCGATCACACTGCATAGGTTGCGCTGGCTTGGCCACGTGTTGCGTATGCCAGTCGACCGACTTCCTCGAAGGGCTCTTTTCGCACAACCACATGAAGGGTGGAAGAGATCTAGAGGCGGTCAAACAATGACTTGGCAGCGAAGTATGA